TCGGTTGTAGCGGCCTCCCGCACCTGGGGGTCGGAGCCCTGCTGCCGGCGTCCTGCTGCGGAGCTCCCTGCCCGGCTGGAGGCAGAAAAAGGTTAATTTGAGTTAAGCAGCGTGAAACACTGGCGTTACGCTGGCTGTGGGTGACCGCTGCGAGCAGCACTGTTACTCTTCCACTTCAGTTTTTTGGGTTTTTTTTGCTTGTTTGTTTCGATATGGCCTCAACTAAGCCTCTTCATGAGCACCACCGGCTGATGCCGGTTCGCCTCGTCCTTCCTCGCAGCCCTGAGGTGCCTTCCCTCTCGGCTCGGCCTGTCCTGGACGCGGCCTGATCGCATCAGGAGAAACAGAAATATCACTTCCCTTGAGGGGATAATAGTAGTGGGGAGTTACTATTTAATTATTGTATGTCTGTATTATTTAAAAAAAAAATAGTAATACTTTGCTTTTTGCTCAGATGAGGCAAGTGGCTGTAGGAGCAGTGGAGGTGAGGTGGGCGGTGGAGGAGGGAGTCGGAGCGCTGGTGTGAAGGAGCACGGGGTGGCTGATGCCTCATCCCAGGTGTTTCAGGGCAAGACTTGTCACTGCAGACACAGTGCCTGAGTGACACAGTGTCCAAGTCCTGTGTAGCTGTATAGCAAGTTACGTTTAAATAAGCTGATGCTACCCAGTAATGGCTCTTTGGTGCTGCTGCTAATTAAATGTGCAAATACTGTCTAGCAGTGGAAAAAATGAGCATGTAGACCCACTGACAGGTAAGTGAAGTCCCTGAAGTGTGTTTGCTTGATGCCTTTTTGCAGAAGACTGTATTCAATTAGTGTATTTTAGCATCTTTTGGAATAAAATAAATGTTACAACATTCTTTGTACTAACTTTTTTTTGTCACTTCCACGCAATAATCATGCAATCATCTTTGTATTTCTTGCAGGGCCTGTGGAAAGAAAGGTGCTTGTGAATCTTCAGAAGTTAGATGTGGCTCAGGATAGTCTGGGAAACAATGGCTTTTTCACTTTGATTTACAATCAAGGCTTTGAAATTGTGATAAATGACTACAAGTGGTTTGCATTTTTTAAGGTGAGTTAACTCTGTGTTCTGCATTGCTGACTGTTGTTAAAGCGGCCCATAGTTAGGTTTCTCTTTAGTCCCTGAGTGCCACAGTGAGGCAGTTGGGACACTTGGTTATCTTTGGCTCTAAGGTTTGCCTGGATTACCAGATACAGGACTTTTTCCCTTACCTTAAAAAAAAAAAGTTATCAGTGGCTGGGTAGGGAGCAGAGGGAGGGAAGAGGTATTTATGGTCCACACCGGGCATTATCTGAAAAATCTGTTACAGGTGCTGGTGCTTTTCCTTCTGGGCATGCTTAAAGCAGTTGAAAGCCCTCACTAAGCTAACTCTCCCAGTGGCCTGGAATTTTTTGTTTAGTCTTCTTGCTGACAACTTGGACCCAAGTGAAATAGCAAACGTTTTTGCTTTTAGCTTTCCTTAAAAATGTTCTCAAATGCATGAACACTTCAGAAAGGCCACCTGCTCTCCTTGCTGGAGGATTTCTAAGATCTTTAAATTTTATTCCAGGATACTACTTTAACATCTAAGGAACCTTCCTGCTGCCTGTAATTGTTCTTTTGGAATAATACTGTTATTGCCAGTCCTGGTTAATGACTTCAGATCAAGCTGAAAACAGTGCTGGTAGGCAGCAGATAGACAGGAGAAGACCCACTTGCTAAGGAGTGCTCTGCTGCTGTCCTGATGAGTGGCATTATGAATCTGGAGGGTGGCTTGAGGCAATCTCTGCAGGATGACTTTGTCTGGGAGACAGATGTTTTGTGCAGCAAGGCTGCTCAGATGGTGAGTGCAGCCCTCGGCAGGAGCAGTGAACGTGTGTCTTGGTTGTTTCAGAAAGCATGATCTTGTGTCTGGCTTCAGGTGATCCAATAGTAAACACCCAGGCCTTGTCCAAGCATAAAATCTGTGAACATTGGCTAGTACTAAGGAGGGTAAGAAATGGCTTTTGCTTTAAATTGTCTTTCTGGAAGCCATTGTAGATAGCTTATTTCACAGCAGCTATTTTAGAGTCAGTGTTTTCAGATGTTAACAAAAGCGAGTGATCTAGTATTCCAGGAGACCTGTAATCCTTACTGAATAGAAATGATGTATGAGGCTCTGATTTAACTGTAGCTTCCTCCATGCCAACTGGAGCTCCTTTAAGTTAAGGGAAAGGGCCATGTAGGTTATTTTACAAGACTAATGGTGAAGTTGTTTACATGGTCTTTGTGGATTAACCCCAGTAGGCAGCTGAGCACCACACAGCCACTCTCTCAGATGGGGGAGAGAATTGGAAGGGTAAAAGTGTAAAAACTTAAGGGTTGAGATAAAGGTACTTTAATAGGTAAAGCAAAAGTTGCGTATGCAAGGAAAGCAAAATAAGGAATTCATTCACTACTTGCCACCAGCAGGCAGGTGCTTAGCAATTTCGAAGAAAGCAGGGCTTCATCATGCATAACCGTTACTTAGGAACGCAGATGACATAATTCTGAATGTCCCCCTTTTCTCCTTCTTTCCCCAGCTTTTATTGCTGAGCATGGTGTTGTATGGAATGGGATATTCCTTTGGTCAGTTGGGGTCAGCTGTCCCAGCTGTGTCCTGTCCCAACTCCCTGTGCACCCCCAGCCTCCTCGCTGGTGGGGTGGTGTGAGGAGCAGAAAAGGCCTTGGCTCTGTGTAAGCACTGCTTATCAATGCTGTTTTCATCACAAATCCAAAACGTGGAACTATATGAGCTACTATAAATAAAACTATCTGCCAAAACTAGTGCACTCTTATAACTAAGTTTTTAAAATAAGAATGCTTCTGCATAAGACAGGGTCTTATACTTGAGCAAAAGTAAAGTGTGAAAGAGAAATACCTGATTGACATTCTCTCTTCTGTATAAGCTAGTGACACTAAATTGCCATGATGTGCACTCCTCATAGGTTTGGCAGGTGATACAGCAAAAACTACAGACACTGGAGGGTGCTCTAACTGGGCAGAATTACTCTGAAACTTCTCAGGCAGGGACACCTCTGCAAGCTTCCCTACAGTGGGAGGACATGCCTGGAAAGTGGCAGGAATTGGTGCCTCCCTGAGGGTGGTGAAGCACTGTATGTTGTAGTATTGTCCAGGAACTTGGGCTTCAGGTGTCATCTCTGGCAGGTGGAATTCAGCAGTCATTGCTGGCCTTGGTGGACTCGCCTGAAATGCAGAGCTGTTTTACAAACCAGTATGGTGAGCAGTTGAAGCAAGTGTTGATTATCAAACTAATTCTTGAATGTGAGGAATTTAATCATAAAACCAGTGAGTGGCCTGCTCTGGAATATCATAGAATGGCTTGGGCTGGAAGGGACCTTAAAGGTCATCTAACTCCACCCCCCCCCGCCATGGGCAGGGAAGCCCCTCACTAGACCAGGCTGCTCCGGGCCCCGTCCCGCCTGGCCTTCAACACATGTAATCTAAATGTCCCCTCTTTCAGTTTGAAACTGTTCCCCCTTGTCCTATTGCTATCTGCCCTTATAAAGAGTCTCTCCCCCTCTTATATAAGCCCCCTTTAAGTACTGGAAGGCCACTATAAGGTCTCCCCAGAACTTTCTCTCTTCCAGGCTGCATAACCCCAGCTCCTTCAGTCTGTCTTCATAGCAGAGGTGCTCCAGCCCTCTGATCATCTTAGTGGCCCTCCTCTGGATCTGTTCTAAAAGGTCCACATCTTTCTGTGCTGAGGGCTCCAGAGCTGGATGCAGTACTCCAGGTGGGGTCTCATGAGGGCAGAGTAGAGGGGGAGAATCACCTCCCTTGACCTGCTGGCTCATATCCAGCTTTTCATCCACCAGGACCCCCAAGTCCTGTGTGGCTGCTCTCAATGAGTTCTTCTCCCAGTCTGTGCTCGTGTCTGGGATTGCCCTGACCCAGGTGCAGGACCTTACACTTGGACTTGTTGAACCTCATTTGGTTCATATGGGCCCACTTCTCAATATAAATGGAGCTGTTTGTTAGGCACCAACTTGAAGACAGTTGAGAGACACTGAAGGCTCTACTGCTGCTATCTATACCTTGTGAAATATGTCCCTGGAAGATGAGCACTAAGTCAATTGACTAAGTGCTGATCTCGTGTATTCCTCTGTGCTTATGAAAATGTAAATGCATTGATTTGCAAGAGTATTCTTAAACAATATACCCAAACTGAGTTATAGAATAATTTAAGCTGGAAGGAACTTCTCAAGGTCATCTGATCCAATTTACTGCTCAAAATAAAATCAGTCAAATATACAGCTGAGCAGTAGCATTGCACAATGGCTTGCATTTCATGGTCGTGAATGTGTCTTAGCCTTTTGTAAGCAAATGGATTAATTAATAGTTTTACGGTTGCTTTTGGTATTGAGAAATAGCAAGCTGCTTTGGCTCATTGTTCAGTAGTAGGGATTCCATCAGCAAGACATGCTTAAATGAAAGGCTTCTTTCCTTAAATATTATAGAGAGAATTAAGGTCCAGTTCAGTTACCCTCTCTTTTTCTGCTGTAAAGGAAACCACAGATTACCAAGATGCAAGTATAATGGCCGAAAAGGACAAGGAAATACCACAGCACTTAGTAAATGCATTTTTTGCTGCAGACAACTAGTTGGCTTTGTTATGCAACAAATTGCAATACTGTATCTGCAAAATTGTTATTTCATAATTGTCAGTGGGGACTTGGGGGAAAGAAGTGGTTCCTTATGAACTGCTTGACGTTGTGACATACTTAAATATGTCTATCTGTTTACTTTTAATCCAGTAAATATTGCATTACATATGGAATAGAAATATAAAAATATCAGTCCTGATATAAACTAAAAATGTGATTTTTGTCTATCAAATGCAGCTAATCCTCTTTTAGGACCTATTCCATCATCATCTATTGTAAAGCTTCTAGGGGACAAGTAATGTACTCCACTCAATGCATGCTTCAGAGGTTTTTGAAAAATGATTGTCTGTTTAAAATACTCCTACCATTTGCACCTGAAAGTAACATAAACATAGCATACTCCAATTTGCTTAGTGTTGGTCATAATCTAGAAGCCCTTGGAGTAAAATAGGGTAAACTAGAATGCTGATTGATAAAGGCCTTCCTCCCTGGAAATGCAGCAAGAGGAAAGCATAAAAGCAATCTCTTAGAATATTGCTTAGCCTTGATCGCTATTGACAATGTGGAAAGTCGTTAGACAAAGTCCCTTTAGAATTCATGGAAAGGAATAATTATCTTTGCTGGCAGCCCCTTGCTTTACAGCAAGAAGGTACAGACCTAATATGTTTAATAGGGAGTAATTTGCTATTGTTCTAAGTACTTGGTAAAATTACTTAGTTTCGCTCTGAAATAACCTTCCAATGTGAACACTGTTCTGGGGTTACAGCTTGATTCTAGAATGACGTTTTGGTTCATGGAGCAGTTCGTGGTGGTGGTTTCCAGAAGAAAGATTTCATGCTCATGAGTTGTTTCAGAAGAGCAAAATTGTTACTCCCAGTTTTCAAAATACTAATTTTTATTTCAGTTGTTACAATGTAATAATTAGGCAGAAAATAAAACTCTGAAGTTGGTCTCATACCATGCTTGGAGTTCTGCTCTTCTGAAAATGCTTACAGGTATCAGAGCAGCCATAACACAGAAAACATTGCATATCTCCTTCCATGGCTGTGGGTTTGGGCTTGTCAGGAAAGTATTCATTGCTTATGGGCTGCTTATATTTTTCAAGTTCTGTTTATGTTGCATTAAAGTTAAATGATGTGGCTAAAACTTCATCATGGTGACAGGACAGATAAAGCATCCCAGTTTACCTACTATGATCCTTTAACACTTTCCTAATATTCTGTTGTTGAACAGAGGATGGAGTTGCTGGGCTAAATGAACAGCAGCATTTGAGGCAATACAGTACTTCATGTGCTTCAAGCATAAAGTGCCACTGGTGCTAATTGAACTTGGAGTGTATTTTTTGCTTAATGTGAAAGAATGAAGCTATTAATTTCTAACAAGAATGCTGTGGGCTTATCTAAATGGTGGCTTTATCAGAGCTGCTGTAGTTGTGTGGATGTAGACACAGGCTGATGATGCATGTTTCAGTGAGTTTTTAATAGCCTTTTGTTCCTGTGGCTTACTAAACAGACACCCACTAAAACTTTTGTAGGGCCTCACTGCCTTTACAAGTTATTTGTCTTTTACCTGGGGACTGCGGGGAAATGACTTTCTACACCAAAGGAGGGGATTGGGTGAGCTTATCAATGTATTTTTTTCCTCAGTTTGCTTTAGTAGCTTAAGTAAATAAGCTCTAACAGTGTTTTATTTCTGTTGTTGTACATAGGCTTGTCCCTCAAGGCTTGCCAAGTGAAATGCAGCACGCTACTGCATTCTTGTATTCTGCTTCTCACAAGTCATAGTTACTCTGCCTGATGTTTGTTTGCAGCACAAAAGAACTTGTTTATGGGAATGCTCTTGTTTCTTATTTAATGTGTGCTGCTGAAACATCCCTATACTGAACTTGGATGTGAAGTTAGTGTACTGACTCTTGGCAGAAGCTTACGTGTGTGCTTCTGCTAGATGATATAAGGATTCTGTAAGGCTATGCAACATATAAGGCTCTAAAGATTTTTTTTCCCAAGGGGTGGCAAAAGAAATGGGAACAGCATAACATAAAAAGCTAGAGTGGGGCTGAAAGGAAAATTGAGGCTAACTTGTTTCAATTATTTGATATCTTTGTAGTATTTATTTAGTGTTAAGACTACCACTTTGAAGGGAGGCAGTCTCATAAGATTCTCACTGTTTGTCCCTTAAGCTAAGTGGTACTACTTCTGGTTTTTGCTAGAGGACATCTCAAGTCAGGAGTCTGGCATTTTTCATATTAAAATGTTAGCACTACTTCAGCAAAAAGAAAGAAATAGATCAGTAACTTGAGTAGTGGAATATTCTATAATCTTTTCCAGACTGACTTGGTGACATCTTTATCACATCTTCTCCTCTCTTCCCCAACACCCACAAATTTGGTTAAAACCAAGGAGTTCCATTCTGAAATAACCAGCCTAGACAAGTGACAGTAGTTAATGTCTAAATTTCAGAATGTTAAAAAAAAAAATCTGAATGTATTTTATTCCATGTTGCTAAAATAGAAGTGTTAGAGTTGCTAATGCTATTTAATCATCCTGCAAATCAATTGAAAGTTAACTTCTAACTTACCTTAGTGGGGTTTACTTAACTAGCAAGTGCAACTGCTGCTTCCCTAAAGTGGAAATTTGAGTTGCAGAATGTTCCCTAGAGGAAAGAAAATGCGTCTGTAGTTGCTGTTTGCTTGCATTTTATATCGGGCAGCAAGATGCAGTGGTTTGTTCTGGTATCTTCTGTATTTTTGTACAGTAGGGCATCTGCAATCCTATTCTAATTAAAATGTGCTTCCCATATTAAAATGCGTAGGCACACTTGTAAATTTGATGAGTGGTAAGTCTTTCCACCAGGCTTAATGTATAGGGTAGTCCTGCCTCCTGCAACTCACGTTGGCTTATTGTCTGAACACTGCTTAAATTGAGAACAGTAGACGTAAAAGAGGATGGGATGGCAGCCTGTGTATGTAGCGCTGCTGAATCCCTGTTAAAATGCTGTGTCCAATAAGGTCTCCATCCTTTCTTGCTTTCCTCTTAGATTAAAAATTTAAACAAAGCTTTAAACAATTACATTTTTTTACCAGGACTAGAATTGAATGTGCAATTAGATTGTCGTGATGACCAACCAGGAAAGACTTTACTAAAAGTACACTGTACCAAAAAGCCTACCTAGGTTCAGGTATCTAATAGCAAGCCTTGAAATTTAGGCTCATGAAGCCTTTTGAGGTTAATGTTGGAGTTGCTTGGCTAAATTCTGGCATTAGGTAAAGTCACATGAGTTGTCAGACTTGAGAACTTATTAATTTAAAAATGGAAGCCATCTTAAGTCTGCAGAAGAAATGCATGCAGCAGTTGTCCAGCAGTTGCTGGTGGTCACAGCTGTGTGGCTGTTGATATCCATGAAGGATGTGGTTCTTTGATGGTTTCCACAGATGTGCTGGGTACTGTGCTGGCAGCTTCGGTTGAGTCTGGCATGGTAGTTTGCATCTGCCTGAGTCAGCAGTTGTTCGTGCAATAGTGCCGTGCTGAGCTGGTGCAGCTGAGGTTAGTCATGCCCCTGTATGACTGTTGTTTGGGCAGGCATACTCAGAAGTCCTCTGAAACTGATAGTCAGATTTGCTAGATCTAATCTTTCAGAGCCCTTCACAATAAGAAATGCTGCATGTGGTTTTAGCAAAGAAATATTGATTTGATGGTATACCTTCCTAGTAGTAAGCAGTGGGTGTCATTGTCACGGCACGAGTGACTTTGCTATCCTGTTTTAGTTCCTCTAACATGTGGCCCATTGGGGAGTTACCTAGGTTGTAGAAATGAAGCATAAGTATTGAGTTTTTTAAAGGTTTCTCAACCAAGTCTCTACATCAATGGCTCTCAATTAGAAGGTGGGGGGAGGAAGCAAATGGGGACCTTATGGGTATATTTCTATTTCTTAGCTGAAAATGGCTCTTGGAGTTGAGATTCCCTTTATCCAGATGCTATAGTCTCAAAGTCTCCATCTACCCTTCTTAAAGCCAATTCAGCAGTAGTATATTATCTACCAGTCTACAAAAACATTGCCGCAGAGGACTTGGGTTGCTTAAGTTTAGGCTTCTACACAGACTGCCTGAAATTGGGGTTTTGTCTCTTGTCTATCTTGAAACATTGCCACTGAATGTCCCCTCACCCCCTTCCTAGTTTTGTTGGTATATTTGAACTGAACGAACAGCATAAGAAATTTGCTAAATTCACTTCCCCGAAAAGTAAGTTGCACAAATGGTGTGAATACTATTCTAGTTATCTACATCTTAAAAAAAAAAAAAAGCAATAAATTTAATCTCCAAAAAAAAAGGAGAGGGATTTCTAGGACAAAGAACAAAAACAAGGCAAATTGTCATTTTAATTTGCTAGTTAGCAGAAAACTCATTACCTTTTTTCTGTGAAGATAAGTCCCAAATCTGTTCCACTCGTTATGATTCAGTATGATTCCCCATGCTAGGCAGGACCTGCATCTGAATGTTGCAGGAAGCAGGCCTTTTCCTTGAGTATTCTTCAAGGATTTGGACTGAAGGCCTGTACTTATCAAGAATGGTTGTGATTGCTCTTGTTTTAATCTGTGGCAGCTTTTAGATAGGCAAGACAGGTAGCTATTAATTTACATTATCATGTAGAGCCAAATAAAGTGCTCTCACAGTAACTTATTGATGTGAAGTCAATAACCTGGTGCTTTTGGTAGTGTCTGGATTTCTAGCAATGCTGTTGTGAAGAGGGTATTTTTCAAAAGCCATCACTGGACTGTGCCCTTGGTATTTGGCCAAGTGTAGTTATTTCCCATATTGCACAATCTTGCATGGTAAGATAGGATGAATAGAACAAAGTAACAGCTCAGCCTTCTGCTGCCCCCGTCCTGCTCTGGTCAGCAAACATGTTTACCGTGCTAGACAACCAAGGGTGGAGATGTGATGCCTCTGCAACCTCCAAACTGGGGACAAAGCAAGTTCCTATGGTTCTAAAACAGTCAGAGGATTAACCTTTAACTTTATCCCTCTGAGAGACTTAATTATTTCACTGTGTGTTCTCCTTCAGATTCCCCACAGAGCCTTGACATAGTCAGAAACCTCCCAGTCTCTTTATTTACTTTATTTTCCATCTTGAGGCATTTCCATCACTGTAAGCCACCACCTTCTTCAGTGAAGAGACTGAGCAAGCATTTTGTTGAAACATAGCTACGAAATCCCCTGTACTGTTGTCCAGGTAGAACTCAAATAGGATGGGATTTAATAAAGCATTCTTGAACGAGGAAACTTGGATTCCATTTAAGTGATTTGTGTGATTAGAAGAGTCAAGTTAAAGCTTTTGTTGCATGGGGTTTTCAGGCTCCTGTGTAGCTTGATACAAAACAGACTTTAACCTTAAGAGATGAGTAAAGATAGTTTTGGCGTTCCCCCCCACCCTGGGACATTCTGCTGTCAAGGAATTGCTAATCCAGGAAATTTACGCAGCTGGACAAAGTGTTAGTGCTAGCTGTTATATGAAAACACATTATACTGAATAGATTAACTTATTACTCCTCTTCAGTGGTAAAATGAGGACTTGTGTGGCTGAATAAGGAAGTATTAGGACTTGGGACTTTATGCTTTAGTAACGCTCCCCTCACTGCCAACTTCAGATGACTTGCTCTGAATGGATCATTATTTCTTATTGTCTCATTTTGATAGTTCAGGTGAAATTGTTTCTTAATGCTCTTCCACCACAGCTCAAACTTAAAGCAGTTGCAGGAAGTCTCATCTTTGCTTCTGACTTCTAAACCAGAAATGCTATAGTATGATTCTCCCTGAGAGGTTATGGGATGAGAAACTTGCTATCCTCCCTGTGTTTACTTTTCAGGCTGCCATGAGTCTTAGTTCCACAAACTTTTGCAGCAGTCCAGGGTTAGTTTGACTAGTCACATATTTGGTGCAAGAAACCACAGAGCCTTGAAAAGAAGAATAAATGCTAAGAGGTCTCTTACATTTTGCCTAGAAAGTAACTGTTGAACCCAAACAGTTAGCACCTCTTAGTTGATACTGATACTAATGCATGCTTTGTTGCTAAAAGTGCAAGTCACAACCTGTTTGTCTTCCTCTAGCAATTTGATAAGATCAGTTTCTTTCATCTGCTTAACCTTTTTTTGATGCTTCTTTGTCTTGAAATCAAACACGATGCTGGTTGATCTGGATACATGTTTGGCCACTTTCTCTGAAACACAGGCAAAAAGCAGCTGGGTGGGTAGGGGCTACTGCTATGCTAACAAATGCATCCACTCAACACAAGCATAACCTCTTCCTGTTACAGTACAAAAAGGAAGGACAGAATGTAACCAGCTACTGCAATGAGAGTCTACCAGGATGGGTACATGATGTACTTGGCCACAATTGGGCTTGTTTCAGCGGACATAAGATTTTTTCATCTCCCTCAGATGTTCGCATAAATGAGCTACCTCTCCAGAAGCCCAGGGGAAGGTAAGCAACAGATAAGTGACCTTTTACTAGAATAAAATGTTTGGTAACTGTGCTTCAGGTTTCAGCTAAAACCACATGGACCAATTCTGTGACTGAGGGCAAAGTTAATGCCAGTGATAATGTTGGGAATAAACCTGAATGCACAAAGGCAGAGGAGTGTGTACCCATCACATCACACACTTTCTCCTTCAGTCTGTGGTGAAGCCCAGTTACAAAACTGGCATGTCTAAAGAAGATGATTGTAGCCTTCTAGTTAGTGTCTCAAATTTCAGAAACCTTGCCTTGATCCAATAGTTGCATGCTTCTTTATCAGTACTTACCAGAAGACACTTACAGAGTTAGTCTTCCATATTCAGTTTAGAGAACACATTTATTTCTGAATCCCAGTTGTTTTCTTACTGTTATATTTCGTTGCTTTTGTTTGCAGACTTTCAAGCAGACGCTACGTGCACAACTTTGACTTTGTAAATGCTATCAATGCTCGGCAGAAGTCCTGGAGAGCAACAAGATACAAGGATTATGAGAACTTTGCCCTGGAAGAGCTAACTAGAAGAGCTGGGGGTCTCTCTTCCAGAGCTCCAAGGTACTAAGGCCTTTTGTTTTGCCATAAACCCCACTGCTGCAAAGAATCTGCTTGTATTTGTCCTGGCTCTTTGTAGCTGTGTCTTGGCTTGTAGTTCAGTTGTTTAATCAAGTTTCAAGGCCTTCCAGCTCATTTTCATGGAGTGCCAACATGTTTCTTCATTTGAATGGTTATTCTGAGCATGTGTTGTCTTGTAGTTGAGACAAATAGGGTCATCTACCCTTTAATCTTGCCCAGTAACTCGCTGCTGAATTCCTATGTGCAGGGAAGAAGTGGGGACAGCCTGAGTTATCATCTCGCTCTCCTGTCAACCCATCAGCTGCTTGCCATAGTCCTGAGTTTTTGCTTGACCATCTTCCTGGTTCTGCTAGATCATAATTGCAATTAAAAGCAATGAACCACATTCTTCTATTAAACATGAATAATAAAGATTTTTCTGAGGGAATTTTCTGGTTACTTTGGTAACTTGCCATGCCTGTAATCAGGGTCCTCTAACAGGAGTAGAGTGTCTTGGTGAAGAAGCATGAAGTAGCCCTGAGGGTGCCTTCAGGGTCTTGCAGATCACATGGCAGAGAGTAGTAATGGAGATGGATGCATGGTCCTCTACATTAATTTGAGAACTAGAGTTCTTTGATCTGGAGATTGCCTTTACAGCTCTCTTACCTTCTTTGTATTTTTGCTTTTTCCACTCTGATACTGCTGTGGGTACAAATGCTACTTACTTTTCCAAACTGTGGCAATTGTATAGTAGGACCTTCTTCTACAAACATACAATAAAAATTCTGATTTGCATGGGAGTATCATGCAGATTATCATGGTCTCATCCTATAGGCAGAAGTCTCCTTGTAGGTGGTCTTAAATACAGTAACCTGTTTGGAAGCCTGTTGCACCATGTAGTGCCATGACAGTAGTTTGTTGGCCCTCTCATGCTTTCAGAACAGACTCCAGTGTCTGGTGTTTGTGAATGGCACTTGGTACATGACTTAAGGGACAAGCATCAGGTTGTGTGAAAGCTGAATGCAGGAAGCTCTTGGCTTGCTGATATATGAGCATCACTTGGCTGCAGGTGGTAGATGAGGACAAGTAACATTTAATACTCCTTCAATAGTCACAGTAAAAACTTGCTCCAGGGAAGTCTCCGGGGCAAGTGGGACTGCAGTTATTGAAGTGTTGATGTAAGCCATGTCTGTCTGTAGTAGCTATCAGTGCATGCTGCCAAGGCGAGGTGCCTTCTGCAGTCAGATATTCTACACACCTTGTGATGGCAGAGGTGTAAAATAGCTGTTGCAGAGCTGCATTGCTACTGAGAGTTACCTCAGCACTTCACATTGGTTTAAAAGTATTTGACCTCACCAGCTTGTGGATAGTTCATAATATAGTTCCCTCAGGGAGGGATTTGAGTAGTCTTGAATCCTGCCACTGTTTCAAATAACTTAGCGTGAAGTAAGTGCAACTAGTAGAAGCCAGAGGATGACAACTGAGTATTATATGATTGTTTCCTTGCCTAGAGTGTGATGTGTTACTCAGAAGCATTTTCTCCTCTTTAGACCAAAGCCTGCACCTCTAACAGCAGAGTTACTCAAACAAGTTTCAAGCTTGCCAGAATCCTGGGACTGGAGAAATGTGAATGGTGTCAATTATGTCAGCCCCGTTCGGAATCAAGGTAAAAAAAAAAATGATCAAAACTGTGAATAAAACACTCTAGAGGTCCATTGATGTACTCTGTAACTTGCTGTTAACAAGAAGGTTTTGTATAGTGTCTTGCAGTTGGTAGATTACACCTTTACTATGAATAGCCTGCAGAAACCAGGTGGAGTCCTGGCTGGCAACACTGTGCCAAAGTAGAAGGTGGTACTGACTTATCCAAATGGCAGTGTCTCTTGCTGGAGTGAAAGCCAATTACCACAGTGCCCTGCATAAAGACAGCTATCAAGCTTTGTCCAAACAGTCTCAGTCGTGCTTTTCTGCAGGCTGACAGAACTGATGTACATTTAATTCTTTCCCTAAGCTTTAATGAGTAAACAAATTAAAATTGTTTATACTGCCTCCAGTTCTTGTCACCTTGATAACTTTAGGAGTTACTTAAATGGCTAGTTGCAAGAGGAGGTGTCAGTCACTATGAAAAGTGTGGACACTGATAAATACTTGTAAACTAATTTTTTTTTTTGTTTGCCCCTGTGATAGGCAAGGATTTAGCTCCAAGTAGACTTAAAAGGATACCATTCTAGTATATGTTTATTCTATAGGGAGTGCTTTTATAGCACTATAGTGTGAGATACCTGCATTAGATAGTTACATACTGGAGGCCAGAGGTGGACTCAGTTAATGTGTCCCTTCTCTGATCCACCATTTCCAAAGAAATTTGCGTCTACTGGTAGCTATCTGGTTGCAACTTTGAGGAGAAGGGAATGTAACATTAGCATGGTGGGGAGGGAATCACTTAAATCACTGGTCCCTCATTTATGGCTTAGTTTTTCTGCCAGATTCTGCCAGCTGGACTCCTGGTAGCAGAAGAAACATAGGAAGGTTTGTGGGACTTCTAGCTCACAAGCTGACACACAGCATCACTGAAAGATGGCCACAGGAAATGATACGGTCTATGGAGGTGTGAGTCCATACTTTTTCCTGGTGTGGACTGTGAATATGCCAAGAGCTCTTTTACCTTCCAAACAGTTGAACACTCAGTCCCAAACTTACCCTTTCTCCATTGTGTTGCTTCAAAGTTTCTCTAAATGAGAACTAATCTGTTGCTTCCAGTACTAAAGCTGCCTACGTTTTTCCTGTAATCTGAGAATCCATGCTCAGTATGTTAAATTTCTATGGAATATGCATTCTGCTCCCTTAAATAAGAAATTGGCTTTCAGGCTTTAAAAAAAAAAACCTCCAGAAGAGGACCTTGTGCAAAATAGTGCTGTCATACAAATTAAGTCTTGCTTATGGTGGCTTGTATGATTTTTCTGAGGCGCTGGATATCCTTGCTTCATTAAAATGATGGTATTAGAAAGTCTTAGTTGTACATCATTAAGATTATTAGCTGACTAATTAGAAAATGCCATGAGGGAGAAGGCTGCAAGCAGTAAGATGCCAGTTGTGTGGCATATACAGAGAGAACTGTATGAATTACAAGATCATGGCTTCCCGGATCTCATATGCTTGTGGAGTTGCTGCTCTTTACCTAAGGAGAAAAAAAATACATCTTAAGTGGACAAGAATTAAAAGGGAAATGTGCATTCTCTGTAGAATACCTTGAGACATGGCAGGCTTTATGCAACTGCAGTTGTCTTGGACTGTAGTATTTACTGCCAGTGTGTTAGCATCCCTGCTATTATTTCCTATAGTCAAGACAGTAAAGATTGAGTTCTCAGGTTGTTTATAGAGCAGTAACTGCATCTTTGAGCCAAGAGATGTCATCTTTGAAGATAGCCCTGTCATTGCTTGTTACCAACTTTACTGGGGGGCAGAAGAGGGGAACCTACAGATTTCATTAGCCTTAGAGTGCAGTTCCAATTTCTTGCTGACTTCTTTCTGCAAGCTTTTTCTGCAGATCAAAGTGGGTGAAAAGCCTGGTCAGCTGATTCTTCACTAGGTGTGCTGGTCTCCTCCTTACTCCTCATAATGTAACAGCCCTTTGCAGTAGAGCAAGTGGAATCTGATGTGGCTGAAGCGTCAGTTGACTCTGGAAGAGAATTTGTGGGAAGTCTTGGAAAAGCAACTACTCTTGCAGCTGTGTTGGTTTCTGCTGATGCAGTGTGGTTGCCATGCTGTGGGCCTCACAAATACCACTGTGGTAACAGGAAAGAAATTTAGCAACCACCCCAACAGACTTCAGACTGAAATAGTTGTGTTAATTGTATTTTTTACGTTTTTGCACACAAAGTGCAACAGTGTTCTGCAGCATGGCCCATCTCTGCTGTGACTGTACAGTGAGTGGGAGGCATGCCTTTCACTGCTTCAGTTTGCCCTGCTGGGCAAAGACCGTTCATGTTCAGGCTGATTTTTGCCCCTTTTCTTCAGAGATATGTCTGACTGAGTGAAGGTGCAATTTCATGAAGTCTTGCTTTTGTAATAGCTCTGCTTTTACACACCTACACAGTTCAGGAGAAAGTATTTTGTTTTGTTCCTCAAGCCTCCCTCCTTTTCATAGCTCTGCAATATTTGACTTTCCTACTGTCAGGAAACAAAAGGAAATCAAGCACCTTGGTGACAATCAGCAGATAAAATAGGACCTCATCCATGTAATTGTCCTGCCCTGTGATGCTTGTCATTCCACTTCCAAAGGTTTTTAATGTGTTCCAGGAAGCTCCTAGGGAGTGAAGAGGTCTAAAACTAGAAACAACACTAAATTTTGATGCAAAAGTAAGGGGACTTAACTCTCTGCTGGGAAACAGAAAGGAAATTAAGGTGCCTCTGAAAAGCCAGTGTAAAAATTATATGCCCTTGGGAAGTAAGGGGAGCCAAGATGAATCCGCTGTATCAAACCTGCTATTTATACCACTCAAAAGTCAGTTATTTTAGGGGTAGCTCTAGAGGTGTAATATTTTTTCCAACTGGAAATTACAGCATTAAATCCATTGATAGGTTGACATAATCTAGAACAATATTGTCAGCATTCACTTAAAATAGTTCATTGCCCCTTAGCAGGTGTGCTCCATAAAGGGTTATAGTCTGAGGCAGTAGGTTATGAGCCTTCTCAGCCCTGCTAATGTGGTCCCTGTAGGTTCATTCTGAAGGAATAGCATAGCTCTTAAATGATACTACTGAAAAACACTGAAGAACAATATTGTCTCTTATTCTTGAATAAGCTCAGTGTTCCTTCAAAAACTTGTTAGAAGTTTTTTGAATTGCATGCTTAAAAGCTAAATGTATATTTAAAGTTTTTGCTCTATCAGTGTTCCAACTTCTAATCGCTGTCTGGTAGGTTTTGACTTTTCAGGGGACTCTAGCAGTAGTTGTACCTGAATGCAGGTGGCTTGCCTTGTTTATGTTGCTGACTGCTCTTTGTGGTTCCTCTTTCTTCAGGCTCATGTGGCAGCTGTTATGCATTTTCCTCCATGGGCATGCTGGAAGCAAGAATACGTATCCTCACAAACAACACTCAGAAACCAATCTTTAGTCCTCAGCAGGTTGTGTCTTGCAGCCAGTATTCTCAGGGTATGTACACTGGTGTATACGAAGATAACTTTCAGTAATGGTAATGCTGTGGAAGGAGACTATACTAAAAAAAGTCCATGCCTTCCCCATCACCCATAATTTAGTTTTTTCATAAAGTATCTGGCAGGCTATATTCTATAGTACTTCTTTTTTTGAAAGATTGCAGAAAATATTTCGGAGTTGTCAGCCCACCTTACTGTAGGGATAGGACTGAACCAGGATCAGGTGGCCTCATGTTCAGGATGTTATTGGATTTTAGGTAGATCTGTCTGAGAGGTGGGGAATACCTAAGGAGTAGGGCTAAAAACATAGCTACATTGCAATGCATGCCTGAAAGAGTGGAACCAAATATTGTCCCAAAAGCATATTCAGAGGGAGGAGGAGCATACAGGGAGGGGGAGATGGGCAAAAGCAATGACTAAAGCTTTCCAAAGGACAGTACCTGTGTTAGGACAGGTCTCCCTACTGTGTGTAACTAACTGCTCTTCCTGATGGGGAGTGCCAGGAGCAGTTGGATGAGAAGGTGGTCCATGCATTAGTGTTCCCAGTATAGCTCCCACTGATGTGAGTTTTGTCTTGGGTGTTTCAGAAAGCTAGCTATAGCTAACTGGAATATTAGGATTATCTGGGGTCACTGCAGTTTGTGTTCAATCCCGTATCTTAAAAGTGTTCTGAAAGATATGAGTAGGAGAGTCTCTCACCTCAAATAACTCTCCAAGGGAATAAGCAGACTTTTTTTTTTCCTGTTTAGGTTGCGATGGTGGCTTCCCGTACCTCATTGCTGGAAAGTATGTCCAAGACTTTGGTGTGGTGGAAGAGGACTGCTTCCCTTACACAGCCCAAGATTCTCCATGCCTTTTCAAGCGCAGCTGTTACCACTACTACACTTCTGAGTACCACTATGTTGGTGGTTTCTATGGAGGCTGCAATGAAGCCCTGATGAAACTTGAGCTTGTTCTGCATGGGCCAGTGGCTGTTGCCTTTGAGGTTTATAGTGATTTCATGCTTTATAAAGAGGGGATCTACCATCACACTGGGCTGCAGGATGACTTCAATCCTTTTGAATTGACCAATCATGCTGTCTTGCTGGTGGGCTATGGTACAGACCCAAGAAGTGGTGAGAAGTTCTGGATTATGAAGAACAGCTGGGGCACCTCGTGGGGAGAAGATGGTTACTTCAGAATCCGTCGTGGCACTGATGAATGTGCAATTGAAAGCATTGCAGTGGCTGCAACTCCTATTGCAAAATTATAAATGCAGAGGTCTTCATCCATTCAGTGCCTTGTCCCCAGCCATAAGGACATACTGATTGTTAGAAACTGGTTGAAATCTATCCCCAGCTTGAAAAGGGGAGCTTTAATGACATTTTCCAGAACAGAGCAAACAGTTTCCCTAGGTGAGAGGATGACCACTGTTAGCTCTGCTCTGTGCACTGAAGGCTTCCTCTCAAGTCTGACAGCAGATCACCTAGAATGCAATGGCAGTTTTGGTAACAGTGGTGATAATTATTCATCACTGGATATACATCTTCAGTCACCAGTTGCATTTTCCTCTGTGGACAATCTTGAACTTCAAATCTCAGAGGGAAGCGTCTGGTATGATAATCTGTAACTACTCTGAAAGGACAGTGTAGTGCCTTATTTCTCAGAAATCAGGAAGTCACTGCAATTTAGAACATAAGTGCATATTGGGGAGGGAATGGGCAATTACACTGATGAAAAGGAAGTGTTAAAGCTTTAAGTGTCCTGCAAAAACCGCATGTCAAACCCTTATGATGATAAAAATCAATTCTATATTTCAGGCTGTTACTAAATGTTCCAGTTCTGGATTTTATTGCTGTGCTTTGCAATTGATCATCTCAAGAGTTCAATAAAAATTACCCCACTCCTGTAGGAGTTTGTACTTGTGGAAGTAGTTGGTTCTTTATTTCAGTGACCTGTCTGAAGTTGTGAGCTTCTTGTCAAGAACTTCTTTCTGTAGCAGGATTTAAACTGCTGGGGAAGGAGGATGAGAGGGGAGAGGAACTAGGAATCATCCAGCTGAGGCCAAGATTCTCACAGCAGCATCAAGCAAGGTTGTCCAGGAGTCTAGTAGTCCTTGCTGTGGATATGGGACAATTGAGTAAATTGGCTAATTTCACACGAATCCAGTGTAAGTCCTCTCTGTTCATCTGTTGCCCTATTCTTTTCAAATATACAAGGTAGAAAAATAGAGCTGAGAGGGGGATTGCAACACTTGGAATTAACTGTTTCTTTCTAGATGAAACTCAGCTGCAACACAGTACTTTGTTAATGCAGCACTGGTCCTTGCTGTTCTTCACATGAGTAAATAGCAGTGGCTCAAAGGCAAGTCCCCGTTTTAGGGGTAGAAGATGACTTCTTTGGTAATCTTCTGTTAAAATAATATGTGACCGAAGAAGTTAATATTTTTACATACAAAATATAATCTTATCTCTTTTTTATTTTTTAGG